GTCGAGCTGAATCGAACAACTTGCGTTGGTCGACTTGGTTTCAAATACTATCGAACAACATTGTAGCATATAAACTAAAAGTTGGAAGAATAATTCTAATCATCATACTAAGACTAATCTTAGTGTCCATGTCATTTTCACATGACCTATAGTATAGCCTTTCGTGCTTACTTGTTTCTGTAGAACTCTGTACTAATCTATCTCAGCCTCTGACTCCTTCATCTTTATTTTACGCCAAAACCGAAGCGCAGGCAGAAGCTTAAATGCCAGGGCACTGCGGCTACAGCTTCTATACTCTAGTTCGATCAAATGACCGAGTTTCACGGCTAGGCTAAGAGATAGCTTCCGTAATAGACTTGTTTTTGATTTGTATTTGATTCGACAACCGGAACAAGTTTGAAATTTAACAAATTTTATTTACCAAAGGCCTATGATATTTTCAATATAAACTGCAATTAGTAACATTGAAAGAAAAACAATTTTTGGCAAACAAACAATAATTCAAAGCAATGTGATGTTATCCTTACAAGCCAAGGCTTGGAAAGGATGTTTCGACTTCTTGTTGTCAGATGGGAAGTGAAAAAGACCTCCCTGTTGAGAAGTATAGGTCCCAAACTATAGAGGTAGCTGGAGATGTGAGTGTAGGAGCAGGAAATACTAGGCTAGACCAACGTCAATCGGAGTGGTATGGTGACCTGTAGGCCGTAGATTAGGACTTGATGTACTCCTAGGTTATAGGGGTGGCTCTTAGTCATTTTGCCTAATGACGTACACGCAAGATTGAATTTAGGGGATTTTAACGATATATTTTAGTGCTCCATTCTTCATCTAGAGAATTAATTTCTATCACCCTGGATACTCGCATGTAAAGTGTGGATGGGATATGTTGTAATCAAAAATAGATCGCTGATGTAGGAATAATGGTGAAGTTGAAATCACTCACTTGTGGAATACCTTAAATTGACAGTCTGCGGCGACGAGAAAAACTCAACAAACACAACAAATAAAACAAAAAAGAAATCTTCCACCGCTTTGTAAAGCTTACCTAAAAGGCCATAAAGCAAGCAAAGGTTTGTCCAAGAGAGTAGCATGGCATATCTGATTGAGACCCTTCGCAATTCTCGGTAGCAATTATATCAAATTATACCAAACATATTTTATGTACCAGATGCAAAAAGAGTTTCTAAGTCTGTACGGGCTTTAAACAACTCCAAAATAATACAATACCTAGTAAAACTGAATGAGTATGTGTGAAAACAATAGAACGATCACGACCTATCCTCAGAAAATCAGACACGCCTCTGAAACACTTAAGCATTTTTTGCTGGACGGAACATTGTGAACAATTGGACTGAAATTGAGGTATAATGACGACGGAATATTAACCTGAATAGAAGCCGTATTGAATTTGCGGAAATGCAGATTTCAACGGCTGAAGAGGCAAAAAATACAGCTAGGAGATTGTTGGAGTGAAAAATATTAGGAGATCATTAAGTTTTGCAGACCGATGAATGAATATGCTTCATTTGAGTATAAGTATCAGCTATTCAGAATACAATTATGCGCACAATAATGAAAGAGTATTGATATGAGCCGGCCTAACGAGGGGTTGAAGCTGGTTCAAGGAAATAAAAAATGTTTTATATTAAGTTTTACGTAATACATATCTTGCAAGTTATATTGATTTATTAATCGATGTCACGGATCTAATATAAATAAGCGTATGTAGCTGAAACGTTCAGCGAAATTTTGATATATCTTTTAGCAGTGTCAATCAAAAAGCTTGAAAATATAATGATCCTTTCAAAAGCCGTTTTTTGTCTTTCAATATATTCGAAAAGTAGTTAAAGAAGGTCGACTTGAAAATTCAATATCCCATCAATAAAAATGGCCAAGAGACAAATTCCTAACAGCACAACAATTAATCATCAAAATAATAAATCTACTAAGTTGTAACAAGGAGATAGGACAATCTATTAAAAAAATTGAACTTTGACATGCGTAAATTTCAGTCTGAGAGTAATACTCCGTACACGCACTGTATAATTATTCTAACGAATTTATAACAATTTCCGATGAAACTGGATTCTTGGATGATGAAAGGGCATGATAGAACATTAAGTCATTGGAAAGAATTGTCACCGAACAGCAGACTTTACAGGTAGGGTTCAGAAAAAATATAATATAAATGGCGCCAAGTAGGTTGACTCTGGACTTCCCACGCAACAATGTATTAGTTCATATAAGTTAGCTCCTCTGAGAAAAAATAATCAAGTGAGCCAAACAGGTCCATACAGTTAGTCCACAGTCTCCGCTTATTTGACAATGCTGCGATCTGGAAATTTCTTCCCAGTCCTACCGAAAGTGTCGACCATCTTACAACGTCAGCCGTGGTAGGCACGATAGGTGCAGCGTTGAGAGATTAGGCGGCAAGCACTCAACTCCCAACTCCTACATTTAAGTTTGAGCGATTTTGCCTTTTTTTCGTTTTTTGCCTCTAGCTTCACCACCAGTGGGCCGATTTTCAAAAACAAAGCTTTTTTGTCCTTGGCATAGCAGTAATTTTGTGTGAAAATTTCGCCAAAATGCGAGTGGTACTTAGTCAGTGCGACGGAAACGAGTGATATGTTTTTCAAAATCTACATATCAAGTAATATCCTAGGAACATATCTCAATTTCGAAATTTTTCCTGGTTACAGTACTTTCGCGTCAGCTTGCGTGGGAAGTAAAAACAAAGTAATATGTGTCTACTGTAATTTTAGCTCTGATATCAACAAATTTCAAAATATAACATCAAGCTTGGAGAATGCGTTTCGTGAATTCTATTAATGGTGCATATTCTTGTTGTACCTACCTGATTTTTTGAAATGCATCCTGTAATCGCCAAGAAAACATCCAGTAAGATGAGTTTTGGGACCCAAACCGCTTGTCGTATAGCTCAGAAAAGAAGTAACGTGACTACTTTGTCTTTACTTCCTATGCCAAAGGTCAAAACTGGCGAGGAAGTTTTGTAATAGCGAAACATTTCGAAATTGAGATATTATGCTTTTTGGATGTTATACGACTTGTACATCACTAAAAATTTTGTCAGTCATTTCCGTCGGTCTGTCTATCTATCGGTATGCCCGCTAATTTGATACCACTCGAATTTTGATGAAACTTTTACACAAGGTTACTACTATGCCCATGATAAAAAAGCTTTGTAGTTTTTAAAAATCGGCGGAGAAAAAGACCAAAAACAAAAAAAGTCTCAGAAAAAAATTGTAGGAGTTAAAATTTGGGGGTTGTGGGTGTGGGGAGGGTATATGAATTTCATTCATATTAGTGTATTTATACGCTCCCAGCTCGGTAATTCTATGGGCATATTATCCAAATTTACCTTTAAAACTTAGAATAATAGAGACATGTTTTCGATCCGCGTACTCTGCCTATCGAAAAGAACCAGTCCGGTTCATATATTTACTCCTACTGAAGACCAAAAAACATACGGAGCTTGCATGAACTGAAAAAATGCCGCGCAGATGCGGAAAGGGACAACGTTGCCACATGGTTGGTAACTATCAGTATGACAGGGAAATAATATCTATGGACTAATTGTATGAGCCTATTTGACTGACTTAACACGTTTAAGTTCTGTGTTAAACATCCTTAATGAACTGATGACGGCGTTGCTTAGGAAGTGCAGAGTCAACCCACTTGACGCCATCTTTTCGTTTCACATGTACTCTGGTATATTCTCTGGTAACAAATTTTGAATTCGAGAAGTTTGGATAGCTACATCTCCTTTCAGGTCTATGCACATCATTTTTGGGGGTTGAAACGTTGGACATTTCCTCTGCATCCATAAAAGTCCTGAATATTTCAGGGCACGGTCGTTTCTAACTTTGCTAATCCACTGGACAACATGTTCTTTCATTGTGAGGCGCGGCAATCAATAACTCTAGTTTTCGCGCTATTCCATAATTAGCGAGTAAACGTAAGCCCCACAAGCATTAATTAAAAGTACGAGTGGAGTTTGAGTATTCAACGCGTCTAATTATTTTGCATCTAATAAAAGAGGTATACTGCTCAATGCGGAAACTCCTGCTCTAAAGAATCTTGAAGCACTGTCACCCGCACCCGTATTTGAAAAGTGACATTGTGTCGATTTTAATGCCATTATGTAGATTTTTTACATTATGTAGGTTTTCCTATAAAATATCTCCTTCAGAGTAGCTGACATTTACTTCATGCTCACTTGAACTAGATCCGCAGGAATATTACGTAAAAAACCTATATAGTGAAAAAAAAGATAAAATGTCAACTTGTTGACTAAGTAGGCTAGAATGCAAATACTTCATTCCGCGTGAGTGAGCGACAGCTAGTTTCAAGTTGACGTCTTGTTGGAAAACCTACATAATGTCATAAAAAACCTACATAATATCAAAGAAAACCGACATAATGCCACTTTTCAAGTTACGTACCGGAATGAACTAGCCGCACACTAGCGGCTACCTGGTGCACGAGGTCACATTTTACTGATATTTTTGACATTACATGGGTTTTTTACACAATAACTCTACCAAACACTACGATACATTCGCTAACATTGTATAAAAAACCACACCATCAGTGTCAGTGATGATAAAAATGCACGGAAAAAAACTATAGCTTTCAACTGATGAAGTTCGCAACCATGTGGTCAAGTAAAACAAGACATTTGACAAAATATTAATTTCATTGGAGTCAAGATATTTTATTTTTCCACACTTCTATAAGAAAAAAATACGAAACATCATATTGAGTCCATTTTGAAATACTCGGTATAGCTCGAATATTCGTACGAGTATACCACAGCGAATGGGAGACAAGGAGGCAAACGGTATACGAGTGTGATTGTATTTAGTTTATACGAGGATCTGTGGGATTCTATCCGACCCTGAAGCAGGCAGCTCGTGTACTTCGTGCAACCTACCTATAGTTATTTGGGTTGTTAAATATAAACATTTTCTTTGTTTCAGACCAGATTGTCAAAAAGGTATCGGATAAAATCTGGAGTACCAACACTTGTGCTGTTAGGCAGAGAAGGCACCACAGTGAGCATATCAGCCCACGAGAAGCTACTGGAGGATCCCTCTGGGACTTACTTCCCTTGGCGACCCAGACCGGTCGATAAAGTGAGTTCGAAGTAGTTGTGCCTCATAAATATCTAAAACCGATTTAGAACTTTTCAGACGACAGCCGATTAAAATTCATTAAAAATTACCCATTTATCATTGGTTCCATTGGGTTTTATCCTACATGTGTCTCGACAAATAAGTATAAATATACATAGGTACCGCGACTCCTAGGGGCAAGTTGGTGTACCAAATCAATTTTTGAACTGTCTCTAGTTAATCTCCTCCAGATTTCTATGTATCGAGCTCAATAGAGGAGCAAAGTTGGTTGGCATAGTGAAAGAGGCGCAGCAGATGACGGTATTTCTCTTGACGGGGCAATAAGATATCATAGCTGAAACAGCAATACCCCAGATAGGCCAAGAGCCTTTTCAATCGAGAGGAAGTAGGTGGTTCTCTTACTTTTGGGGAACTATTCTTCTGAACATTGAAAGAAGAGTCGCTTCAGGAGTCATTCTCAGGAGGAAAAATATCTATTTATTTATTTATTTATTTCTAAATAGTTTCCCAACAGACTATTCGAATTACAAGGAAATATAATGGTATCCTTACTTATGGTGTGCATACATAAAGCAAACGTAAAAAAAAAACAGATTTAGCTATTATAATAGTCCCTGAAGTACGACAAGATCTTACCGATACAATCAAAATTAATGTCTGCCTGATATGGAACTATAATTATTGCATATAGAATGTAGCGGAGAATAAAATCATACGTTGGTACGGAAGGTACTGCAGTAAAAAGTTCTTCTCATAGCATCCACTCTGTCGTGAGAGACCCCCCTTTCTGGATATGCGCCACAAATTTTATAAGCACAATGTTTAAGAAATTTTCTTAAAATTTTCTAAGATATTTATATAATACGCATAGAAAGGGTTCCATATCAAAGAAGAGTACTCAAGTTTTGTTCGCACCAGCGAAATAAAAAGAGTTTTTATTGCTGCTTCGTTGGGAAAAGATCGGCAGTTACGCATTATGAAACCCAGAATCCATGTCGCTTCAGAAGTGACGCGTGCTACATGGACAGAAAAGTACAATATGCAGGAAAATGTTACACCAAGATCTTCAGTCTCCGTTGTTCTCTCCAAAACCGCATTATTTATGGAATAATCAAAGATAATCGAGTTCATTTTGCGACAATATGACACTTTACACTCGGAAATACTTAAGAAGAGAAAGTTATTGTCACACCACTGTGTGATACCATCCAGATCCTCCTGAAGGGAAATATAGTTCTGCAAATTTGTAATTTTGGTGTGGTGAAGCGGCTAGGTTATTTATGAAAAATAAACACATCAAGGGACCTAGGTTGGAACCTTGCGGTACTCCAGAAGGTAAAATATAATTGGCTGAACGATATCTTTCATAATAGACATATTGCATCCTATTCTAAAGATATGAGCTTATAAGACCGACTAACGAGTCACTTTTCAAAGAAATTTTTAGCAATCAGCATAACCGATAAACCCTTTGTGAATAGATGGTATGTAACAAAGCCGACAATAACCTAACCAAAAATACAATCAAATCATAAATCATGAGTACAGACGTCACTGCTAAGCGCTCCGAAAATGCGGGGTTCTGATAAACGTCATTGGCATTGCAGTTTTAAATACTCGATTAAAAATAAATATGGGCATCTTCATTAATAATCGACGATGTGTTTGGCTCGACTCATATCGTCAGTGATCTGAACTTCGACAAGTTGAAACAAATTGCTTCCTGCCAAAGCCGGCAAAAATAATTATTATTTCTATGATAAAGCAATAAGAAATTGTGATTAAAACTTTTTCTGTGAAGATATTTGACGTCGAGGAATTGCTGGAAAATGGTATTTTGGAAAAACAAATTTCCATATAAAAAGTGCTCCATCCAAGACTTTTTTGTGCAGAATTACCTACAATAACCCCTAAATGTGGTTATGTTAAGCCTACCATCACCCGTAGTTTTTTGAAGGGATCTGGTTTTCTCGCAGCTTTTCCATAAATATTTAGATGTCTCTCAATCGCTTTAGAGATGGTTAGACACAGGGCAATTAAAACAAAAAAGTTCTCAACTGCAATTGCATGTATGAATGCTGAAATAGTTTCAGATTAGTAGCAAGGCGTCAAAATGTCGTTGAGGAACTGGAAAGAAGTTTATGAATGTGTTGAAACGCAACATCTAAAAAATGTTTGGGTGGCAATGCTTTTTCATGTAAGGGTCTGGAAGTGCAAGTTTGCAAATGTTTTATAGGATAAACTATAAACACACAGTATGTGATGGTAAATTAGTATAATCACATATGGATTACAAAAACTGAAATAAACCTTCAGATAAATCGAAAAAAACTAGATTTTACTCAGACATCAAGCATTTTTTAAAAATGTTGGCTCTGTTTTATATAATTATAAATATAAATAAACTGAAAACATTTCAATGACAAGCTGTCACTTCATATTTTACAGTGTTTTGTTTTAAATACTTTAATACTATTTGCTGGCAAAAATCTGATGGAGAGATCTTAATGCCCGTAGGCTATACTTGACGGTTTAATTGGTACTGCTACGCTGTCGGTGCAAAATAATGCTTTGATAGGTTGTGAAATCCGCCCTAATAAGAATACTATAACTTCATAATACTGCATATCGACAGTGACAATTAATTTCTCCAGTATTGTACGCAATGCATATCACGGGTAACCCGAAAATTCATAACGTAATAATTGATTCCAGAGATATGCTATTTTTTACTTGAATACACTCCATATTTAATGGATACTATGTAGAGTGGAAATGTGATGTAATAAATCTGAACCTGCGGTGGAATAATACATTTCAACGATATAAAGCTGACATGAGCTTACGTTATTGAGCAGAGTTTCTGGTCGCGTTGAAGTAGAAATTATTTAGCGAGCAAAGATACAACCATCACTATCGAACCTATGTGTACAGTCGTCGTAAGCAAGATATGAGTTAAACACCGCTTAAAGCATCCTTCATGGTGTTTGTGATATATCAAGATGCAACTCTATAGTATATCACTTTGCTGGTCATAGACTGCAGAGCCGGAGGATTCTAGGTTAAATAAGTCTATAATCCTTCATTATGGAACACCTCTTTGGGAAAATTCTGGAGCTGTAGGATGTTTTAGAGGAATTATAAAAAAACAGCGGCAAAGTGCACATATTTCCAATACGATGGCATAGATCATGTTGTTACTATCATCGAATGATTCATACTTGTGCTGTGCTAATATATTTAATTCATTTTATCCATGGTGAGGCGAATGCGTGACATTGATGGTGCTTGTGTATTATGGGGTCGTCCATAAGATTGAAGGCAGTTACAAAAATATCGCCTTGATATCTTAATAGTGGAAAACTGTTTGAAGGAGGATGAAGGATCTAATACAAATTCAAGCTGCATTTTCGAAAATTTTAAGCAGTTATGCACAGTTGAAGTGAAATAAGACGGGTCTAACATGTAGAAAATCACCCACCTTTTGGAACGCCTTTCCTTGGACCGGTTTGGCCTGTATCTAGACAATTTAGCAGCGATATTACATTATGCTTTTTGCTCATTTTTAACAGTGATCTTTTAAAGTAGATCTGGTGTGATTTGAACGTATTTATAAGAGCAGCACGACAGGATTTACTAAACCAGACGGAGCCTGACTTAGAAATTTACACTGTATACGGCGTTCTAATATGATTGGACAAATTGCTGATGCATTGAGGCAAACATTTTGTCGAGAAAAGCTGTAAAAACTGTCTAAAGTCTTTCTAGTCTACTGAAAATCTTGCAGTTTTGACATTTTTTAGTTCATTTATCTGACGGATGAAAAAGTGATACGGCAACGTAATCTGAGTTACCGAGAGTGCCAACTTTGATGATGTATAGTAGTACCTAGCAGTGGTGGTGGGGAGGCGAAGCCTGCCATCTGGGCCACTTTTGACCACTTTTGCAAACCCTGCAATACCAACACTGTACTACTCAATGAGCCATCTACTGGTAACTGCGTGCATGATATAGACAACAACACAATATCGATAGCACAGAATTAAGCATCCGAGGCGGAGATTCGGAACCCGCTATCGAAGCCTTCTTACTTTGATGATTATAGTATAAGCTTATGATCAGGAAATAGCATTCTTGACGGACAACACACCGTTTTAATCCTTTACCCTGATACTAATTTTTCATCCAACTTTCAGGTGTTGAAAGACGTCATCCTTCAACCAGGAGGTGCATTCTACTCCCAGCATAAAAACTTTGGCAAAGACATAAGATACAGCGATATTCCAGACGGCATAAGGGGCTTTTACTTCTCCGCGAATTGGGTAAGATCAATAGATTACAGCAATGTGCAAATTGAACATAACTGTAAGCTATGCCTTTGCAGTGCCCTCCTTGCAGAGCATTCACACCTCAATTAACAGAAGTGTACCGGTTGATTAGAGGTAACGAACCGAACTTCGAGATCATCTTCGTCAGCAGTGATCGGTAAGTTCTTTCGCTTCATTGCATGCTATTTGATATCATTGAGTACAGGGGATTTTTAGGAGATGCAGAAAACGAGAAAGGAAGATGGGAACATTGAGAACTGACACAATAAGCTTGATTATAAAAATTTTAACAATTTTTCGGTGCATATAATATAGGAACATGCCAAAGCTGTTTTTTGTGTGATCTATATTTTTAAGCGTTATGAAATGCTTAACAGTTGTCTGAAAAACTGTTCTTACTTCTATACTGTTCTTGTTTATGAAAATGAAAATCTACCATGAAATGTTAATGTTAATGGGGAAATTGGCAAAATTCTTAGGCTTAAGTTGACTATTTTGACGATAAAATCAAGCTTTCGGCATTCTCTATGGAGCCTTCATCAGGATTCTGAAAACACAATTGTGATGCTAGCAAAGAAAACAGGACAGATTTAAATTGTCAGACAACTTACTCGTCGGTGAGGTTGCAGCCACAAGGTGTTTCATAGTGATTGACGCGACGGAACGCGTCAATCACTTGTCATCTGTCGACGCTTTATCTTTCCATGCCGTCCCCCTCTCCACGTGCTGCGGAAACAGAAGGTTAGAGACTGCATTCCGATTGTTTCAACAAAATGTCGTCTCACGTGTAATATTTTTAACTTGTTCAGGTGGATTGATATTTTTAACATTTAACGAAGGTATCTGTCGTTTTACAACAAACCCAATTCCCCCGTCCTTTTGTTTTTATACTGATTATAAGTTCGATCTTCTCTACGTTCGTTCTGAAACACCCTGTGGCTGCAACCTCACCGACGAGTAAGTTGTCTGACAATTTAAATCTGTCCTGTTTTCTTTGCTAGCATCACAATTGTGTTTTCAGAATCCTGATGAAGGCTCCATAGAGAATGCCGAAAGAGTCAACTTAATAAGCTTAAGAGTTTCCCAATTAACAATTAATTGTATTATATATATATATATATATATATATATATATATATATATATATATAAGAAAGCGCATAGTGCCCAGGACGTATATTGACGGTGGACAAAATTCACGAACTTTCAGTCTCTTATGAGACATGCTGAACAAAAAGTTCTCATAAAGTTGGGTCTGGAAATGCGCCTATAAAAAGTTATTGCAAGATAGCAAAATATCTCACTAATTGCAGATATTTCTCTTCCGAATTGGTCCTTAGACTCTTCCTCGTTCATAAGCGAATGTGGGTTATCGGTGACTACATGCTATTGGATCTGATTCTTGTGGAAAAAACATATTTCAGCACGCTGGTCATTTCTAATGCTGACTCTTTCTAAAGAAAAAAACAATGAAACAGTATAGTCAAGGGCGGACGCAGTTCAAATGTACGGCAAATCAAAACCTATACCTATAAAGCAACAAGACTTCGCAAAAAATACAAAAGGACATTTGAGGATCTTGAACTTGCCGATTGAAATATTATGGTTTAAAATACATAGTTTGACCTGCATATTCCATCACTGACAATGGGGTTTTCTCCCTAACGAAATGTGATTGAAACACAACATAATTTGCGACTAATACCATATAAATCGCAAAATGTAAATACTGCTCCATTGAATTGACTTAAAAATATAATATGTTAATCCTACTAAAGTAGGGTTTATTTCAGAATACCAAAAGGTAAACAGCACTTTAAACGATACTTCGATTTTTTATTTTTGTCCATAGGGCTATGCACTTTAAGGTGTATCGAAAGGTGTTAGTTATTGCAACATTTTTTATCACTATGACTAACTTATTCTCTTAAGCGCTCGTGTTATTTTAATTACAAGAACTATGTCTGATTCAGCAGGTACAACACCGTTACTAATATACAGGGTGGCACATCGAAAACGAAACAAACGCATTTGCTGGCAGCTCAGTTTTTTTTTTGGAAAAACGCTCAGACCCGTCGATTTTGTTTTCGAGGGGGATACAAGTTTGGCAAAAATTCACGTTAACACATGTAGCCCCCTGGGCGGGGGTGACACCAACCCTAAAATCTTATATGGAAAGGGAGGTCGAGTGATACCTTATTTTAAAGGTCTTTCAATTCCATTTAAAATGATGTAAAATACATGAGTTTCAGTTCAGTAGTTTTGAAGATTTATTGATTTAAAGCTTAAAGTAGACTTTAATAGGTACATCAGATTAGTTCGTACTACTTTCGGAAGAAATTTGACTAAAAGAAATTACTTAATAAGTAAATGCTTTTCTTCACTACGCCCATGGTTTGTTTGTCATTTTTTTGTTGAAAATAGCTATTGGAACGTTTTTTTGTGGCAAAATTTCTTGAAGAAAGATAAGGAAATATCTCGTACTTATTTTTAAATAGGAATTTAGTACATAGTTTGCGATTGATTTGACCAAACTTTGTCGCTAAAATAACTTGTAGCGCTTTATTACATAAATTAACCACGGTATATTCCACAGCAGCAAGAGTTGAAATTATCGAAATATTTTTCGGAAATAATCAGTGCGCTAATAGAACAGCAGAAATATTTAATGAGCGACATAAGAACAGTAACGTGCATCGAAAAATGTTCTAGAACTGGTAGCTAAATTTCGGGAAACTGGGTCAGTCGCTAATAAAAAATGCAACATTGAAAATCCCATAAGGAACGAAGCAATAGAAGTGGGGGTTTTAGGGCCAGTTTATGTAGATCCTACGTTAAGTACCCGCAAATTGGAGAATGTGTGTGGTGTTAGTCGACGTACTGTCCAACAGATTCTAAAGGCCCATAGTTTTCGTCCATATAAAATTCACTTGGTACAAGAACTTAATGAAGACGACTTTGATCGGCGATTACAATTTTGTGAAGATATGAGTGAGCGAATTATAATAATATATAATAATAAAATTGGTCCGCTTCTTTTTAATAATTTACCATGCCACATTACCTCGGTTAAAAATATTAACGCCTTTAAGTTCCTGTTGAAGGAATTTTTGATAAACAAGTGCTTTTATCGTGTTGATGAATTTTTGAACATAGCAATTTGAGATTAGTTGTAGGTTCGTAGCGAACGAAAAATTGACAATTCCAATACAATTATATATTGTCTGTATGGAAATAAAGGTTATTGATTGATTGATTGATTGATTGATTTCTTAAATGGCGTAGTAAATCGTCATAACTGCCGATATTGGTCCGATTCTAATCCCAGAATTTATCATGGGGTTCATGCACAGCAGCCACAAAAATTAAATGTTTGGGCTGCATTAACAGCCATAATTGAAAATCAGAATGATCGGCGGTACATTGCGAATATCTAGATGTTCCAACAGGATGGTGCCCCACCACATTACGCATTACGTGTTCGGCAATATTTAGATCAGACGTTTAAAGATCGACGGATTGGTAGAAGAGGTGCCATTGAATGGCCCCCAAGATTGCCAGATTTATTACCTTTGGATTTCTTTGTGAGGTCATTTAAAAAGCAAAATCTATGATACTCAGCTAAAATCATTAGAAGACCTGCGACAAGGAATTGTGAATGAGTGCCTTCAAATTACTCCTCAAATATTGCAAAATGTGCGGCTACGTTTTGAGCAAAATCTTTATTATTGCATGGTGAGTCATGGTGGTCATTTTCAACATTTACTGGCCTAACGGGTCAGTTCATTCTTCATTTTTAAATTACTTTGCTGCCAAATGTATTGATCTCCACTAATGATTATGTATTAGTTTTATTTAAGCTTTAAATCAATTAATTTTATATCATTATAAAGGGAATTGAAAGACCTTTAAAATATGGTTTCACTTGACCCCCCTTTCCATTTAAGATTTTGGGGGTGGTGTTACCCCCGCTTATTGGGCTGCACGTGCTAACGTGTTTTTTTGCCAAACTTGTGTCCCCCTCGAAAACAAAATCGACGGGTCTGAGCGTTTTTAAAAAAAACTGAGCTGCCAGTAAATGCGTCTGTTTCGTTTTCGATGCGCCACCCTGTATATCTTCCTACGAATACGTAACACTATGACAAGGCGTTAAATACCAATTCAAATAATATTTTTTTAATGAGAAGCAGCTTTTCGCTTTATCGATAAAATGATAAAAACACCTAGGTGTTGGGACCAAAATAGGAATTTGGTCATTTCTGTATGCCAGTTTCATAACTGAGCTTCATAGGAATGTTTAAACGTGGCCCTTATCGTTAGAGGAACAAGAACATAGCCAACCAACGTGTGTACCGTACCCGTATCACATAATTCAAAAGGTGACATTGTATTAATATTTCATGAGACTATGTAGGACTTTTTGACATTATGTACGTTATTTTTCCTATAAAATGCCACATTTGAAATAGCTGACATTCACTTCCTGCACACTTATAAGAAACGCGGAATTAACCTAGCGGCACACTAGCGGCTACCTGGTGCATAATATGACATTATACCAAATTTTCGTAGTTTTTTAGTTACGTAATAAGGGCACCGTACTCTCCTTTGATAACGGACTAGATCAGTTATGCTTTCTGTTGCGCCCATTTGTGAATTTGACAACAAGCAACTTAATAATTCAAGTTTTCACTAAATGACTGTATACGTTATAGTGGATGATGCAAGTCAATAAGGAAGTCACCTGATAAATAAACATATACGCACTATGTAATATATTATCCATTATTTCCTATCACATTTAGTAAAATGATTCGCTGCCAAAACGCGAGAAATCTCAAAAAAGATTAATTACAATCTGGTTATCCTCGACATATTAAATTCCTCCGTTTACTTACTGCTGTCACACACATGCACCTTAGAGGAGGAATCTCTCCAACACAAAGGAAGCAGATATTCAATTTACTTTTGGATTGCCAAGTTTCCTCGGCTTTACCTGTTAGAAGCTATATAATAAAGAGCGTTAAGCTTTGAGAATCTGGTTAAAATACGTGACAAACTTAAACCATTATATTAGTCCGTTAGATTGGATACATTATCTAGTACCTCTAAGATAAAAATTTTGAACAAAAAATTCTATGAATTACACTATGTAGGATGACTTTGAGCATGTGGAGGTCAAGATCAAACTATATCTGAAAACAAGTCGCCAAAGCCTAAATATCCATAACCAAAAAATACTTCTTTTACTTTTCCCCATCGTCAACGACTTCAAAAGAAGTATCAGCTTGTTGGCCAAGATGCGAGAGGTCGGACTTCATGC